TTTTGTTTGTTTTGGACAATTTCGATGTTATTTTCAAAATAACCGAACAAGCTAACTTAATCATTGTGCACGATTCAAACATGATTCTAAGCGTAAGCATAGAGTAAGCATAAGCCGTAAGTTATAGCCGTAAGCATAAGCCTATATGTTAACGTAAGGTTAAGCGTGCGATTAAACTTATTGTTAAGCTTAAGCCAGTCCGAACTGCTCAGTTGTTCTTGCTTGTTCCCTAGAAAGTTTTTAACAACCCGTCTCAAACTTAAACTCTTGCCTGAAAGATGCTGAATTTTCGAGAGCATTTCAAAATGATTGTTTGTGAAAGGAATCGAGTGGATGTGTCGTTGCTATCCACCTCATCGAGCGCATTACCACGATCGGCGAACGGTGCTCCTCCTCGATCGGTCAGTAGTGGGGCGATTTCTACTGCATGGCGATCGTCTGGCTATAACTCGGCGATCACTGAAGAGCAACAGCAGCAGCATTGTGCTGATGACCGACGACCGTTAATTGAACCGATGAGACCTATCGATGAACCACCTCCACCCTATGAGGTAGTTGCCGTTTCTTGTTCGTTTTCTCGAATGGGAAACGATACAGGGTGGCTAAAGCAATCAGCTCTTTAAGGGACTGATGACTGCCTGCTGAATGCGAGAAATTGCGAGTTTATCATAAATATCTGGATATTTCTTCATTTTTTAGGTCTTATGACACAATTTTGTATGATACTCCGTATGATTTCATAGTATTTAGACTGAAATTTTTCACAAAATTTCACGTAGACTTGCGCAGATCAAATATCATGGTTGTAATTGTGAAATGAGAATAGAAATTTTTCTCAAGAGTGCATCATAAAGCAAATCAACAAAGAACTGAAAAACTCACAGCAAAAGATTTTACTGAAGTATTGGCACGTAGGCAACATGGTTCTTGTGCTTTCAATGGAATGTTCAATAATATTTTGCAAATTGTGCTGATTATGAGCGATGTTTTCATCGTTTGAAAAATGGTGACGATCATAGCGCAAAAACCATTTGTTAAATGAATAATTGAACAAATGAAAGAACATTGCAAAAAAAAACAATTTTCAAGG